TATGTCATTACTGCTTGTGCTCTTAATGATTTTCTCAATTATCCATTCTGCTTGCAAAATGTGAAGAAACAATGAAAAATGGCTATAATAATTTCTCAGAGCCAAGCTGCCATTCGCTGACAAATTGTTTTAGTCCTAGTCATTATGCATAACTCAATTAGCTTCTGACATGTATTTTTATGGCAGGGGACTACAAATGTAGATAAAAACAAGCAGTAATGGCTGAATTATCTACATGTATTAGCACAGGTTGCATTTTTGTTTTAATTATGAATTTGGCTCTCTAAATTCTCAAAAATAGTTTTTTTAGGCAATCTCAAAGGATGAGTGGAAAATTAAAGCTCTCGTGTTAATGACCTTAAGTATGTATGTATATTTTCTTTATGCCTCTCGAACAGTTATGCTGAACATTTTCTGGCGGTACTGAAAACATTACAGGGAAAAACAGGTTGAATCATGCTGTGCAAACAAAGGATATGTTCTTTGTTTTGCAAATAGAGTCTGAGAACAGAAAATATTTGATGTAGATTTTTTTTTTACTTTAGAGGCTCATTTTACTGAGTGCTTCGTACACAGGTTGCTGTCTGTGTCTGGAACAAGAGAGAGTGAAATTGTGAAAGGGTAAAAGTTCTTTCTTTTCACTTCTTTTTTTAATATGCTGCAGTGTTACTATTTTATATCTAAACCAAATTTGCAGAGTACACAGTGTATGCTAAGTGTATGCTCTCTGTTAGGTTATAATGAAAAAAAAAAACCTTCAATAGCAAACTATATCTAAAATGCCAGCTCATCCTACTACGCAAGACATCAACCTCTGAATGCGGATCTGAATTGTTTTTTAGACGAGAGCTGCAGCTGCAGACCAAAAGTAATAGAAAAGGGAAAAAGATCAAACTGTGCTAAATACTGAGTCACTCAGTCTCATTAGCAATGACCCTAAACTGCACAGATACATAATATGTAACCCATATCAGAGAAATGTCAACAAAATTTTGCTAGCAGTTTATAAAGTTATAGTTTATATAGTTATAAAGTTATGATTTTGTAAAATTAGACAAACATAGAAAGCTATAGTCTTACAAATTTGCTAGGTACCTGATTTCTTTCTTTTGTTTTCTCATTGTAAATATTTATTTTGCATTTCTTTTTTTAACAAAGACATGCATCACTATTAGCACTCGAGCGACAGAGGTCCTTTTCTGAGTGGTGAATTAAAATGTGAAGAATCACCCCAATTACCCCAGCGGTGGCCTTTTAGTGACAGGGCTTCTAATTAGTGCAAGAAGTATCTATCTCTGTGGAGAATAATGAGAAGAGCAAAGAAATGCTGTGAATGGGAAAGTGTGGGTCACTGCGGCTCCGAGGCTCTAAGAGGTTTCCTCATGTATAATTACCATGATACGTTGGTTTAAGCGTGTAGAAAAAATTGGCGTAATTGAGTCGTAGCCCTAAAAGTGGAAATTAAGATACAAATCACTGCTGTAAAATATTTATTTCTTTTTTTGACAGTTCAAGCATAGATGATAACCATCATAAACAGCGCTGGATCTGTTAGAGGCGATGCTCGAATGTCGTCAGGAGACAATGCTTAGAGCATTTCTGCTTTTTCAATAACAGAAAAAGGAGAGTATAACTTGAGCTCGTGCTCTCAAATATTTTACTTGTAAATTGCCTTATTTCATAGTAATGTTACCACTCGTTTACCAGAAAATGTGCTCAAGCCCGCAGAATACCACAGCAAATGTAGTCGCACTGCCAATTCCATTTTTGGCACAGGCTTTTAAAGGGTTTGTGCTCTTAAACAGACTTTAGCTAACAAACATAAAGCGAAATGCAGGCTTCTTTCTTTTCACTAAGTTGCTGTGTGAAATGCACAGACACAATAACAGCAGCACTGACTCACACAGAACCAGCCTAATTCATAGGAGTAATTAAAATTCTGTTTTAGTCTGCATTTCTTTTATTGGTTTGGCTGTCCCAGGTTAATGGTCCTTTGCCTAATACTTCCTCAGAAGTGTGCTACTGCTACCCATCTGTTCTGCACAGAAATGGAAAGTTAGACAGCTGTGTTTTTATATTTTGACAGGGAATGAGATCGATGAGCCTTTTTTAGTGAAAATGACGCTGTTTCATTTCAATGTAGTTCCAACAAAGAATAACTGTCAGCAGCTCTTATTTTCTTTATCTTATTTGTCACAGTCTGAGAGGCTATGTTGGTCTGAGAATTGCCCAGTGCCCTCTGGCTCTACTCCCCCCCACACACACACAGGTTTTTTTTAATCAGTGTTAAAATTGACTGTAATAAATGGCAAATAGTATGTGTCTGTGAGTACAATGAACACAGCATCACTCCTTAGTCACCACAGGCTTCTGCGTTTTGCCACAGTGAAGTTAGCTGTCATCAACTGTCATCAGCTGTCTCATTTTTTTTATACAAGCTCACCAGAAATTACAGGCGAGTGGCATTTTTTTTAACCAGTGCTGACAGATTGAAGACAAAGACTGTAGGGAAGCATAGATGTGGCGGGTCTAATATTACTCACAGGTCTTTCAAACTTGCTGCAGTTGTGAATAGAGAAGAAGAACCAGCCGGTGTGATAGGCTGAGGTTTCTTCCAGTCAATCAGTATTCCTCAGAAATGTAAAACTCTGTCAGCGACTATCACCGAGACAAGCTGGTGTTGACACCATCAAGTCTTCTGCACTGATATTGAAGAGACAGGATCCTTAAAGAGACACTTTGTTTATTTTGAGTTCACCGTTAATACCATCGGTTTTTGTAAAACACTCTATATATATATATAGACTTTGTATCCAAGAAAGTCCAGTGATTAGAAAATCGACACGCTGTCAAACATGCTGCTGCTTTGCCAAAAGAAAATGTTCAGGAAAATATTGAAAATGCATCCTCTGGCCATTTCATTAGTTACACTGGTGTAATTGGTTATTATTAACCCAAATATTTTATGTGGAAATCAGATGGAAGTAGGGCTGTGCGATATGACCAAAATCTCATATCCCGATATTAAGACATCTACGTCCGATAACGATGTAAATCACAAAAATGTAACATTTTCTGTAAATTCTGTGAATCTCAGGCAGCTCGACTTGCGTGAAGTGTTTCCAGCTGGGCGTCGCGTACCTGGAGTCGAGTGTTTTAACCGATGCATGAAACTATACATTTTTAGACATAACTTGTAACAGCCGCCGTTTTCTTTGCGAGTATTTATTACACAGCGTGCTGCGGGGAAAAGCCTGTTCTAACGTTTGAGTCCAAGGTTTATTTTTAGCACCTGGCGGCTCTTTTTTGCTTCTCATCCGTAAACACTCTGCATCTTTCACGTGATTCAGTTTATTTGGAAAAGTCTCAACAGGATCTTGAGCTTTATTGTGAAAGGTTTATGTGGAACAAGCGGACACGCGGAGGTTTTACCGTCGTTGTTGCTAACGACAACGCATAAAAACAAACACTTGTCTGTCTGTAGTGTGGTTATATTAAATGTAAGAGAAAGAGAGAACTTTAAGAAATTATTATAGCCACTACAGTGACCATCAAAATAATGAAAAAATATTGCCGTAAACAATTTATTTTGCGACACCACGAAACAAACAATAGCATAAAATGAAACAATAGACGTTTTTATATCGTCATCTGATATATATCGTTATATCGAACAGCCCTAGATGGAAGTAACTCAGAGCATTTAGCCATTTAGACATGGTCAGGAGGAGTTCCTGCAGTTTAAACAGAGAATCAGAAAGGGTAAGAAAGGTGATTGGTGCCAGACAGGTATTTCAGAAATTGCTGATTTACTGGGTTTACATTGGTCCACATAAAGAGAAAATATCCAGTGAGCAGCATTTCTCTGGTTGAAAATGCTATGTTGATGGCAGAAGTCAGGAGAATGGCCAGACTGCTTCAACCTGACAGGAAGGCAACAGTAACTCAGATAACCATTCATTACATCCAAAATATGCAGGAAAACATCTTGAAGCAGATGGGCAACAGCAGAAGAAGACCACGCCGGGTGTCAGCTATGAACAGGAAACTGTGACAACCATTCACATGAACTCACCTGCATTGAACAAGAGAAGATTGCAGAAACACTGTGTGGTCTGATGAGTCTCAATTTCTCCTATGATGGGGTCAGAATGTGGTGTAAACACAAAAGCATGGACCCATCCTGTCTTCTATCAACAGTGCAATGATGGCGGGGATATTTTCTTGGCACATTTTGGCACTGATACTACCAGTTGAGCTTTGTTTAAATGCTACAGCCTATCTGAGTAGTGTTGCTGACCATGTTGATCTCTTTATGACCGCAGTTTACGTGTCTTCTGATGGCTGCTTCTAGCAGGTTAACTCACCATTTCACAAAGCTTACATCATATCAGATTGGTTTCTTGAAAAGAACAAGGAGTTCACTGTACAGATGACAGACCAAATAAGGATGTTAATATGGACCACAGCCTTAGAGGAATGCTTCCAACACCTTGCTGAATCATTGCCACAAATAATTAAGACAGTTCTGAACGCAAAACGGGGTTCAATGTTATGCTAGCAAGGTGTACCTAATGAAATGGCCGGTGAGCATATACTGTATCAAAATGAGCTGTCAGGGAAAGCTACTGAAGATATTGGTCTATATGTAATGAATCTGGTTTGTGGGTGCTGAGTAGGATCTATGGAAGCCATTCGTCATTTTCCTCTTTCTTAGTGCCTCTTTTTCCTCTTGGCTCACCAAGCTGCTTTACACTGGCACCATATTGACAGTTTGCACAGTGTGGGCAGACTGGATATGGGGTGTACAATTGATTAAATGTTCTATTTGGACACAGACTTTTAGAATAAGATGGATGGCCCTGACAGAAAAGATACAAGGGGGTGAACTGAACTCGATGACATGCATGCTCACAGACACTTACACCTCTATATACAGTGTCTGAAAATAAAGCTAGAATTTCATCTTCAGCCTATCTGTGTTTTTTTGTACTCCACAGATAAACCTGCAGAGGAGAATGAGGGTCACAGGCCTAATTACCCAGGGTGCAAAGCGTATCGGCAGCCCAGAGTACGTCAAGTCTTACAAAGTAGCCTACAGTGATGACGGGAAGACCTGGAGAACATACAAAGTCAAGGGCAAAGATGAGGATATGGTGAGACACTTGTACGGGCACACAGACATAGGTGTACGCATCCATCGTCACCCATTGCTTCTTGTTCTGTGGTAGACAGACGAAATACACACTCATACATGCGCACACATCGACTAGAGACTGTGCACTCAGTCAAGGACAGGGTGGAGGACATGATGAGATGGCTTTTTAATTAGCTAGCGCACACCGGGCCCATCCTGCTGCCCCTTACCCCCCTCCACTTTTATGACTTCTAGATTGAATTTTTATACTATTTGGGGATGAACAGCCACCAAATAGGCCACAGAGCATTCTATCATTCCTGACAGCAAGCCACGACTGTCCTCTCTTTGGCCGAGCTCCGAAACAATCAGACCTCCAAACTTATTATCAGATATGTTGTCAGATTTGTATGCTCTACGTTTGGGCTTTGATATTTTTCATTTAGAGCTCTTTTGTTTTGCTCAGTCAAAGCTAGACACGGCTATGACATGTCTATGTTTGTTTGTACATCTTTCGCTCCAATCATATAGTTTCTGTCAGGCTATCTTCAGCGATTTGGATGAAACACTCCAGAAGGTAACGTGATATAATTGGAGCACTAATTTAAAACACACCACTGTTCTTATGAATTACTGGCTCAAATGGTGCGACAAATTGTCTATTTTTCCCTGTAATTCTAGCTCATTGACCTTGAATGACAGCAATTTGTTGAGCGTGGAGTAGACACTAGAGACAGCGGCGGATAGACTGCCACATTATTGAAAACTGATCTGCTTCACCATCCTCCCCCGCCCCCCATCTGCTGTTATTTCATCCCTTGCAACAGATTTTCAGAGGAAATGTCGATAACAACGCTCCATCAGCCAACTCCTTCACCCCTCCCATTGAAGCCCAGTACGTGCGCATTTACCCCCAAGTCTGCAGGAGGCACTGTACTTTACGCATGGAGCTGCTCGGTTGTGAGCTAACAGGTGAGTGAGCTTTCTTTATCCAACTGAATACACTAATCACCATCATTATCATAAATGCATCATACTGGAATTTGGAAATCCACTCCAGTATGCCTCTTGCACAGTTGTTCCTCTTGTTTTTAAGTAGTGTCAGCACTGAATCCATTTTCAGGAGGCCTGGGGTTAGATGTAAAAAAAAAAATAACAGTTTAGAGCCAATCTGTTTTTGTTGTTGCCAGGCTGTTCTGAACCACTGGGTATGAAGTCAGGCCATATCCAGGACTATCAGGTCACAGCCTCCAGCATCTTCAGGACGCTCAACATGGACATGTTCACTTGGGAGCCTGGGAAAGCCCGTTTAGACAAGCAGGGCAAGGTCAACGCTTGGACAGCTGGTCATAGCGACCAGTCGCAGTGGCTACAGGTGAGATATAATCTGAGCCAAGTCTGTTATCTGTTGCAGCTACTGTAGAGATAAATCAATGTATTAGCAGCAAAATGAACAACAGACACCCCTGTTCTTGCAGATAGCTGGCTTTCACTCTGATGAAGGATTAGCTCTTACCTCCCTGGCATAATAATTGATGGTTGTGCATGGTAATGCATGCCAATGGATTCAATTATATTTCATAGGGAAGGACTTCACTGTTCATGCCAGTTGAGAATTAAATTATCTCTTAAAAAACCACCTTTGTTAGCTGCTTCTCAGTATCCTTCTTGGAAACAGTCAGTAATAGGTTGTAAATTCTGTTTATTTCCATGTCAGTCTTTCTGAATCCAACACCCACACTGCCTCAGTTGGAAGAGTTGCGCCCTGTTATCTCTGGCTGCAGTCCAAGGCTTTCTATCTCTATGAAACCAGCCCATCTATTTGTTTTCATTACAGAAGTGAAGGCTAAACATGTCTCCTGAAAGGGACAAGACACGTCTCTAAGTGAACGTTTACCTCCCAGTCTTTCTATTTAACAATATGTGAGATTGATGGTGGCTGAGGGAGTTTCAGATAGATATCAATAAGGCTCAGTCAGGCTTAGAATTCCCTTACGTATGGCCTCATATATTGGATTTTTTCTTTTTTTTTGTTTTTCATACAAAAAAGAAAAGTCATAAACGCTTTTTGCTTTTAAAGTGCGAAACCAGATCTTACTTCATGCTGTGAAAGTGATAGCATAGAAGAAAATGTGATGTGGATTATCTCATCGGGGAATTGAAGATCAGTGATTTCTTTGATTTCTTGGCCTTTCTCGCGGACTTGCTCGCACATACCCCCTCCCTATCAGTGACACAGTTAACGCTCTGTAGTCATACCGACTGGTCTGGCTGTTATTAGATTGGTTGGGTTCTGATTCAGACATGTTTTTTTATTACGCTGAAAGCTTTTTTTTAGATGGTGACGGCATACAGGGCTGTGTGTCGGTGGAGACAGGTACTTAGGCGGGCTCCATCCATGCTAGGGAGTTTGGCTAAGCAAAATTGATTGCTTTGGGTAAAAGAAAACTTGCAGTCTCATATTACATGCTGTGCTGGCAGGAAAGAGGAGATGCCATACAGATGAAGTGAGAAAATCAATGGCTTCCATTGCCAAGAACCATTTCTGTGCACACGAGCAGATACAATATCCAGCTTTTAAAAGTCGACATTTAAGAGTTCTGTACTGTAAAGTATGTTGATGAGGCTGTTGGTAATGACTGTTTTGAATATTTAGCGATCATCTTATATGCATTTGTTAAGCTCCTGCTATAATCACTGTCTTCTTTCTACTCGTTGCCATGGCAAATAATTGATTCAGAGTGGCATTACTGAATGACTTAAAACCTCACAGACTAATGGAATTAATCAACCTTAATGATAAAATAAGTATTCCTATTAATCAAGAAAACTGTTCTTTTGCAGATTGGACACAGTGAAAAACCCTCTTTATGCATCAGGGTACATAATATAATATAATATGGATTGCTTAATGCAGTGGTTCCCAAACTTTTTTTGCTGGGCCCCCCTTGTTTTACAAGAAAAATGTTTGCGCTCCCCCTTCTCGCACGTGCACGCGCGCACGCACAAACACATCCTCCAACCACACACACCCATATTTTGCTCCATTGCGGTTTATTTCACACCCCAAACATTTAGTAAACAATTAAGCAAATACAAGTAATCTGCAATAAATTACAGGTAGTAATAAAATAAACTACTAACTCTTTTACGCTACGTCCACACCTACACGGGTATTTTTGAAAACGCATCTATTTCATCCACACGTAAACGGCGTTTTGAATCACCGAAAACTGAGATTTTTTTTTTAAACTCCTTTTTTGCGTTTACATGTCAACGAGGAATACAGAGTTCATCACGCAACGTCAAAGGTATGCGCCTTTTTTCACGTCACGCTGTGCGCACGTTTTTGTTTACATGAGATGAATTGCAGAATGGCAGATAGAGACAAAATACTGTTAATCTGACCATCTTCAGTTTTTAAATGCTTACATACACACGCAGTTACTGTCCCTCCATTTACAAAGGCAGAGGCGTCACGGTGTGATTATTTTACATGTAGTTGGGTTTTTTTTCTTGTGTAATAATATTCAACATTGCTATCAATACATTTTTCAAAAAAATGCCTCTCTGTGCAAAATGGGTTTAAAAACATAAAAAACTGTGGGATCCTGTTTGTCCGTGATCTGAACAGCCCGGCGCTGCTCCTGACACAGGGAAAACCTGCAGGGGAGACCTACCTTGGCACTTGTGCAGGTGAAACCAAAGGGAAGATATGCTTCACCATATTTTCTAGTCTTTGGCTTAGAATGAAGTTGGTTTGGAAACATATGCAGCGATGCTTCATCTCCTGCTTTGCATTTCTGTGGGCGCCCCGTGCTAGCAGTGTCCAAGCGTTTTGTTCCCCCCCCCACACACACACACTTATGGAAGGTCTGGCTTAATGTATACAACAGAAAAGACATGATGATGCACAGATTTTGTCAGAAGGCCTTTTTTTCTTATCAGAATACCCATACATTTCAAATAGATATTGGCATTCCAGGTCAATCAGCTGTGACAATGGGTAGGAGGGAGGTAACAATAAATGCACATTTGTCAAGCCTGATGTCACCTTGCACTCAGTACAGGAACAGTTTACTATGTTCAGACTGATAAATAATCACCACTCAGTACCCAAAGCTGAGATATCTGTAGCAGTACCTCAGCCGTGGCTAAGTAAAACAGTTTTTAGACCAACTATGCCCAAATATGCCAAACCTAACACATTTACACTCAAAGACACAGCGAGTCCTAGAGAAAGTTGCTGGAAAATCACAGCACAAATTACTGTGCTGTTAAACTGTTGTTTGCAATAGAAATGCAGCCATTTAGTTTGAGGACAGCTCAAAGTAAATGTTCAGCAGCTGTAAATGTTTGTAAAGTTAGACCTAATCTATCACTCTACATTAGGGTGGGCGAATCTGAAATTGAATAGATATATTTTACACAAAAATAACTGATGGAACCTGGAGGGCCACTGATCTAGCGCCTTCTTCCTTATCAAAGTAACACAGGCAATTGTCAAGCCTGTAAGACTTTGTTCTGGAGAGAGCATATCAACCAACCAATGTGGAGCCCTAAATAGTAAGACATTTCCCCACCTAGTAAACACGTCTATTATCATCATTTCATCTAACTGCACAGTTAACATTCTGAAGTTAGCAACAGCCTTAATATAAAAATATTAAGGCTATTATATTCCTTTTCATTTTGCGACAGAAAGCTTTTAAGTAAAGAAAAAAAAAATCACCAAGAGCTGGACCTTTTGGTCACCTTCCAAGTTGAAGCTATTCTGTTCTGACAGGGGATAAAATTACACACGGGGAGACTAAACCAGAAAATTTCAAGATGTTTTCAAGAGAGGAGCTGAAGCTGTCAGACGAGGCTGCCAAATGTTTCGAGCTGGCATAAGCTGATTAGTTAATTATGCACATTAACATGTCCATGTTGCAGAGAGAACGTGATAGAGAGACAGTTGCTACTTTTCAGTTTCATAACTGTTCTGTTAATAAAGCAACAAGTGTACTGCAAATTTTCTGACAAGCACTGCTCGGGACTGTGGAGAGTTTTTATGGTGGATTATGATAAAGAAGCCCCAGACAAACAAGTACACAAGGCTGGAATGAAGTGGGATTGTCTCTTCCCTCATATTTAATTTGGTTGCGGTTAACAAATGACTTGGCAAGAGTTTTGAATTCTCCATTTGTATCTCTGTCATAGGCGGCACTGAGGAGGTTTTACATTTTCTTGCTATTTGTATGTTGGTTATTTGTTGACACTCAGCTGCAGTATTGGTATTGACATGCCTTTGCACTTAGAAGAAGTCACAGAACCTTCAGGAATTTAAACAGGAATGTAAAATTCTTCTACAAAGGAATTGCAACTTTTTCTTAGATTATTCCTAATATTGGGTAACTACATTGCAATGGGCTCAAGTAAATAATCATTAAATGTAACCATACAGTGCATTAGTGAAACAAGTGTAAGCATGGCCTTGTGTAGACATAGATAGCACAAAATACATCACTTAGTTTGCAACTTGTTAGATTTATTTGTATCCAGCAAAGGTTACAAAACAAGTTATGAACGCAATTCCGGTCTGTGGTTCATTTCTTATCCCCCGTCTCCATGGTTTTCACACCCAATTATCTCCTTAAAATGATGAATATGTGTGGTGTGCGGCTGTGGCACCCTGATAATCACCTCTGCCTCTGATGATGCAGAGTGAGCGAGGTTTGTGTGAAAACTTTGAAAGAAGTACAGTAACTCTCTTTTTAATAATGGCGCTAATGGTTTACTCGGCAAACAGTGGTTGTTGCTAATATATACACTGTTTCTTTAATGCAGTGGTGTTGTAGCAGCTGTAACATCATATCCTTTTTACACTGATGAGTCACCATGTGCTTGACCAACTACTCCCAAAGCATGGGTCACAGCTCACTGGTGGGCTGTGAAAAAACTGCAGGTGGACCACAAGTAGTTATTTACAATAAATGGAAATCCTTTTCATTTTCCTATTGCTGTAAATTTTAAGAATAAAAATGAAAATAAGATGCAGGTGTAACGCAATCTGTACTTACGCCAAACCTTTAATGCGTGGAAATCAGGACTGTTGACCTTGGGCAGTTCACTAGGTGTCGGTGTCATCAATTTCACCCCAATGTTTAACCCAGAATCACAGTTTCTCTAAAAATAGGTTACAAGAAATCAAATGCGTCCCAAATATCTATATCCCGTCCGAGGCTAGTTTCGTAAAGGAGATTGGTAGTAGCTGCTCCACCACAGGAACAATAAGGCTTCCAGCACACAATGGACACCACACTTACTTAACATAAACACATTTATTTGACACAAATTTAAATAATAAACCTTTTTTTTGTAGTGTCTTTCCAC